TTGCTCGAGTCACGTAACGGCCAAAACAGAAAGTCCATTGTTCACAGCGTCCGTTATTCGAGGTGTACGTTATACGAGGCACCACTGTATAGAGAAAAACAAGCTTAAAATGTTCTGATGATTAAATGATAAGTCTGCATTAACTACCAAGCTAGAACTTGGCTAAATTAATTTTATAAACCTTACTAATTTGGACTAAAGGTAGACAGTTAAGCTGCCATCTTGTATTAAATTTAATAATTATATTAATTTTGAATTAAATTAATATAATTTTAATTATAATAATGTAATATTTATATAATTTAACAACTTCTTGTGATTAAAGTTTTAGATTATTTACCTGGTATTAGTAATAATGATGATGGGAAATAGTGGCCCAAACTCCCTATAAACAAGGAAGGAAGAAATTATTGAATAAAAATATAAGATAAAATTAAAAACAAATTTTAAATTTATTAATTAAATACAGAAAATTATCATTTAAAGACAATATAAAATTTGAATTAAGATAAAGAAAAAAAAAAGAAAAAAAAATCTTACACGTAAAGTGACATATGAAATTTTAACCAGAAAATTATTAATACAAGGTACAGTTTTATCAGTACTGGAATTTTAAGGAATTAAAAACACATTTGATTCCTTAATTCTATTTTTTTTTTTTCCTTTGTTTAGAAAATTTAATTAAAAAATGTCTTTTCCTGAGAGAAGTTTTTACATATTTTCAAATATCTGAAAATATGTAAAATGTTATGTCTGACATTCAAATATAGGACTCTACAAACAAAATTTTTCACAGTTAAAAGATTAAAATTACAATCAAAAGCTTATCAATGTATATCTAAAGATTCTTAGTTTAGCCCTTTGGTGAGTGCACTTTTAAAGTTCCATGAGAGGGCATATTTCAGCTGTTACACTGCATATGTAATATTATTTCATATCCTCCAATATTTAAAATTCATTTTGAAATATGAATAAAATAAAAGAGGGACTTAATCTTAAAACTTTTTATTGAAGAAATGCATTTATAAAACATCTAGATAATTAAAAATAAGCCACTCCACCTCCATCTGTTGCTCACCTTTACACATGGCACATTTAGTGATTATAATGATTGTGTAAAAACACCTCAGGAGCTGAAAAAGGATATAGTCAGTTACCTTCTGTATTGGTTCCAGCAGATAAATTCAATGTAAAAAACAACCGAACAAAAGTTTGTGATCACTTTCAGAGATCTTTGTCAGGTTAATATACTGTTCCATAAATTGAATGTTATTCGAGCAGCTTTTATTGAAACAGAACATTCTATGCACCATGTGACGATATTCAAATTTAAAACTTATATGTGACATACAGTACTGTACATATAACAACAAAATATGACATAATAAAAGTTTTTAAATATGCACATAACTTTCTATAATAAGATTAGACATAGACTAGAATAAAAAAAACTTTTTTGAAAAAGTTGTTACACTCCCATTGATAATTAGTGATTGAGTGACAAAATTTACAGTGTTGTGTTAAAGATTGATACTGTTAGAGGTAACATAACATTGCTTGCTGAGCTTGTAATAGGTTAATATTTTCTTTACTATTAATGGAACTTCCCTTGAGTATTGCTTTATAAATTTTGATATGTTCTTATTCTTAGCTGTTATATGTCGAAGGTGTGTGTAGGAGCTTAGCCTTGTCCCAACATGGGGACACTCGTACTTGCTAGCAAATTGGGCCAGAGCAGTGTTATAATTCATGCTTAAGATGTTGTACATGTTGCAGAGAGATCTGGCAACATCACAGGGACAGGGACGCGTGGGAACAGATGTGTATGAGCAGAGATCATTCAGACTGATAAGGATCAGAAATAAAATACTTAAAGTAAGTGTGCCTATGTTTCTGTGTATCACAAGGTTTTAAGTACTTTATAAATAGCTCATAAACATAAAGCAAACCTCTTAAAATAGTACACATGCTCCCTTATTTTTGTCCTTAATGATCTATTAGTTGAACCTATGTAGTCAATTTCAGACAAACATGATATCTAGTAATGGAATTTTACGTACAACTGGGACCTGTGTGCTGTCTATAAAGTTTTTCCATTTGTTAGTAAATGAAAGACTGACAGGTTTTGCTTATACACAAAATTTTTGTTTACCTCCCTAGCTATACCTTGTATACCCTGAGATTGTACACCAGGGTTGGTATGTACGATCTTGGGTTATATGTTGCTTATCTGTTGATGTCAGTATTTAGTTTTATATTTTTAGCTAATTTGGTGATGAGCCTTGCACTGTAGCCATGTTTTTGACTATGTTTTTAATAAAGTTTATCTCTTACACTGTATCTCTATTATGGGAGCAGTGGATGTGAGTATGATTAATAAGTGATTTAAAGATTACTGTTTTATATCTTATAGGGTCATTAGAGTTTGATATAATGAAAAAAGTTGGTGTTTGGGTTTACAATAAACCCATGTGCAGTGATCTTTTCATTGTATAGTTCAATTTCTAGATCCAAGTAATGGACTAGGCAGTTCTGTTCTAACTTAAGAGTTAAACCACATTTGTTGTTAAAAGCTTGTACTCCACACAATTAAGATATTTTCACTATATCTAGTGTATATTAATATATTAGGTAGAAATTTTCTTAGAATTTGATGTTCTAGTGAATGGATTAGTAGTTCACATAAGTCCCCACAAGTCTCCACATAGGGGCTAACCATAAGAACTTAGTTTTGTAAATATGTATGCTGGTTAAAAGTGAAGAGAGAGATGAAGTAAGTGTACTATATCAAAGATATGCTTATGGTATTTATGCAAATTATGTATACATTGCAATAGGAAATTTCTTAACATGCAAAAGCATAGTTTAAGCTTGATGGAGGGGTAAATTGACATGAAGTCCAGTACAATGAGGCACTCATCATCTGTTACTATAATAGTTTTTAACTTAGATATTAGACCAATTGGGTTGAATGCAATATAAAGATAACCTATTAGGTATTCTTCTAGCATATGATGTATTCCCTTTTTTAATAGAGTTGTAGGGGATTAATTTTATCTACAATAAAACGTGAGTGTCGGCCTGGATTTTAGCAAAAGCAAATTACCCTGGGCTGTTTAGCTAGGTTCATTTTTATTGACATGTTGACAAGTTATGTGTACTTTATTTATTTATTGCATTTGTTAATATTTTTAGGCATGGTGTCACTTGTTGTTTTGTTTAAATAATATAATTTTTGTAATAATATACTGTATCAAATAATATCAAATGTAATATGCATTTTTTCCTTATTATACTATCTTTGAAAATACAGTATATTCAAGTAGACATGGTATTTGTATGCAATTCCTCAAAATGTGCACATTCTGTAAAAAATGAATATTACTTAAGTAGTAATTGAAAATTCTTAAGTTTTACTATGAATGTGTTAAAAATGTACGAGCAAATATAAGAATATTATAATTTTCAAAAATGTGTTAACTTAGATTTATGATTAATGCAAGAGTTAAATCATCTATTATACTATAGCTAATGAATAATTTCTAATAATAATTACTTAATTTTATGTTTTATAGATGGATTTTTGAATACCTGGAATTTTGAAATTCCTTTATTGGATTAATCTCCATTTTATGATTGCAAATTTATCAAATGCTTGTACTGATTAATTAAATTTATTTATTTCTTTACAATCCATATTAGAGTTAAATTTATGACTCTTAATGTATGTTTGGAAATTTTTTCTTTATATTAAATATTTTGTGATATTCAGAAAAGAGAATCCCTTTTCTAATTAATTAAAAGCAATATTTTATTTGCAATATTTTCAACTAAATTTCAAACAGAAATTAATATGATACAAATGTAGAAATGGATAATAGAATTAAAACTTTTTTATTTAATAAAAAACATTTTTAATAAAAAGACACCAAGTTACTACTAAAATTTGATTTTATTAACCTGTAGTTGTATTTATTTTTGTTTTTAGTTCTGAAAGCCCTAAGAAAGTTGGCCTGACTATAACTGATTGTTCTTCCTTACATGGTTCGGCCAAAGCTCGAATTAGACGACAGAGACATCGACGTAGTAACAGTCAAAGTGGCTCAGGTAGTTATAATCATTTAATATCCTCAAACAAAGTGCCATCTCCAAGATGGAGTTCTAGTTGTGAAAGAAGAAGTTATGTTGATACAGAAACTCAGACTGAAAGTGTTGATATGCAGAGTGAAACAGATCCTATTAGTCCTTGTGGAACATTAAATTCCAGACAACATTCAGAATCAGTGCAAAATTATAATAAAGAAACTTCAAGCAATAGTGAACATGATATTCTTTGGAGGAGGAGTTTGGATGGATCACTACCAGATGTTGCAGCTTCATGTCAAAAGTGTAATTGTCAATTAGAACAAACTGAAAGAGATTCGAATATGAATCGCCAACAAAAAGTAATGACAAGCAATGATAGGGTAACAATTAAAATGAATAGAAATCGTTCAGAAAAGTTAACTTATCATAATTTTCAATTAAAAACTTTAAAAAGAGGAATAAGTACAGACAGTGATGAATCACCAACTCGTTTAACATTTCCAAACAGAAGGAATAATATAAATACTACCAGTAATATGGTATGTATAACATTTCTTAATTGAATCATTAGAAATGAATGTTAGAAATATATAATTGTATTCTTTATTTAGGATCCTCATTATACAACATCAGAAGAAGAAGGCGAAGTTGATGATAGCGACGATTATGTCTTAAGGAATTCTATGTAAGTTATTGTTAATTTTATTTAATATTTATTAATTCTATGTTTCAAACTTCATTTATCAATTTTAAACTTCCTGAAAAAATGCTTAAATAATTGATGTTTATGATTCACATCTATTATAAAAAAAATTAGGTTGTTATAATTTAGATTATAATTAAATATAGAATAGAAACAGAAATAGAAAAATTATAATATTACAGTAGAGTGCTGCAAACTCTACTTAATGTGGACTGAGGAAGTGATCAGTTACTGAAAATGATAAATTTTAAGGCATAGCAATGATACTAGTCTAAATAGTAGAATTTAGTGTATTATATGTGCAAATTCATGTATGTATTAACTATGTATCAATAGTGAATAAAGTGACATTTCAATAACCCAGCATCATCATGATCAATGCTATGCTGGGTTGTTAAATATGCCACCTTATTGGATAGTGGAGTTTCCAGTTTTTTTTTTTTTTTTCAATCCCCTAGACACAATTTTACATATCTTTGGATTTAAAACTGTACAAATCTGTCTTTTATGATTGTTTAACATGCCATTTTAATTTTTTCAGGCTGTTCCTACCTTTGTTTGGTTTGAAACAAGAACACTATTCTTAATTTGTGCTTTGTGCACTTTTATTGCATATAAATACAGATATAATCTAATTATCAAACTACATGAACAATAATATACTGTAGCTATTTCTGTGATAATTATTGTTTCCAATTGTGCTAAATATTTCTGCTTCTTATATGTATTTGTGCACTGATATCTTTGGAAAGTCTTTAAAAAAATCATGCATGAGCTAAGTGGTTTTACCTAGTGCAGCATTGTCTCATCTTGGCATTTGTTCTCTCTAAAAGGAGAACCCACACTCTTTTTCAAGAACTGCATGTTTTGAGCACTTTTATAATGAAAATCTTAACTCTGGACTTCTATTTCTTTATTTCTATACTTCTATATTTCTATTTCTATACTTTACTGTACTTCTATTTCTAGTTAAATTTTAATTTAAAAAATATTGGCTATTCACGTAGTGCTTGCAGTGGCATCTTCGACAAAAGGTTACATTTATTGCTAACATGTGGAATTGTTGCTATTATTGAGTATTGCCAATGAAGAACAATAACTTACTGATCCTAGTGTTAAGTTATAGAGATAAAAATTAGATTGTATTTTTTATTTTTTTGTTTGTTTCTTTTTGAACAATATGATGAATTTTATGGAATGTCGAGTTATCAAAAGTTGCGTTTCTGGGACTCTACTGTATAGAAAATATGTTAAAAAAACAAAACTAAATGATGTTAAAGATATTTTTCTTTTCTTTAGAATTTATTATGAACATGAAATATTTTAATAGAAAATTAATTAAATACAGATAAATAAAAACTATAATTTAGAATAAAGTATTCTAATTGATGATAAATTTTTTTTCCAATGGTCAGATGACCAAGATGGTTAGAGAATCAGCCTACTGCTCTCAGGGACCTGGAATCAAATCCAGGCAAACTACCTGGAAATTATTCATGGGTGGTCTGTCCAAGATATGTTGATCCTGTTCCTTATTACCTAGCTGCCATATTGTGGGCCTTGCCAAACGCATCATGGGCATGGAAAATAATATCCACAGGGCAGAGAGACAAAAATTTAAAAGGAAAAGGATAAATAAATACTTTATTAATAAAAATTATCTTTTACTTAAAATTTATTAATATAACAATGCAAGTTTTGAATGCTCTAAAAGTTCAATTATATTTTATTCTCAGAAAAATTTAAATGTCGTATAAAAGCTTCTATAATTAATTTAAATAATAAAATATTCAAAATCTTCTGAAGATTAAACTTAGAACTAGATTGATTTCAAAATGGTTTAAAAATTAAATCTGTTTTACTTCATTTTAAATAGAAACTTAAAAATTACTTAGAACTTTGTATATATTTAATGATGAATTATAAAACAACTTCTCACATAAACTAGATGCTGAATTATAATATAATATAAATTCATCTTCTTGTGCGTTGATGAATTATATTACTTTGATAATTTTAAAAATGTTATTATTATTTTTTTTACTGAAAATTCACTTTCTTTAGGCTCAATTATTTTGATTCTATTAACTGATTTATATTTATATTGATAACATAAATTTGTGATAAAAAATATCATGTCTGTCATTATCCCTTCACTTATTTCTGTATTACCTTATAGGAATTATCAATTTGTTATTATTTGAAAGATAAATCATTATTTTTAGCAGTTAGAAATAAGTTATAATTTTTATCTTTAATTATGTATTGCTTTACACAGGGTGAGCCATTTTAATGGATCCAATAGAATAACTCAAAAAATATACATGCTACAAAAAAGTAATTGAACTAAAAATGTTACGGTGAGAAGGCCATACCATAAGATGGGACTATTGGTGTAATCATAGATGGCATTACAATTGATGAAAATGGGATCAACTTTATTTTCTCCAATGGGAATCTCCATTTTTTATTACATATTTCTGATTCTACATCAATTATTTATTTATTTTCTAAAGATTGCTTTTTATTTTATGCATTTTTAGTGAAATAAATAGTTATTTAGGACTGCTATTTTTTTTTAATGTTGTTAGCATACAGTTAAATAAATAATGTATTATATTTTATGCAAATAAATTTTTAGATATAATTAAATATTTAAATTAAATTTATCAGTTTAGACATAAAATTTTCTAATTTATATTATATTATATTAATTTTGAATTTATTTTAATAACAGAAGGTTGTCTCATGTTCATCAGAGATGTAGTGGACAATCAATTTCTACATTAAGCTCTGAAGGAATTCTTTCAGAAGAAGAGGAAGGTAATACCAGTGAATATGGAAGTAGTCATCATACTCCAAATGATTTACTTTCAAGTTTGTCAAATCCAGATTTATCGCACAACTTGGAAAGTCAAGCAGATGTATCAAAAATGGGAATAAATGATCAGGCAAATTGTCATTCTTCAAATGAATTACGAGAAAATTTAGAAACAGATAAAAGTAGAAAGGTTTGTTACTTAAATTGATCAAAAGCTTTAGAATATACACACATCATATATATGTGTGCAAAACTTAAGGATGGACATTTGTATACATGAATAGAGAGAACTGTAGATGAATGCAGACAAATAAGGCAAGAACTGTATTACTCAATGTATAACACAGTAATACTCATAATAATACATAACTTGTAGGGTTTTACAAATCAAAGCAATAAAAGTAAGTCTTTAGTGAAAAAAAAAAGATATATATATATATATATATATCTTTTTTGCTAGGAGAGCTATATATATATATAGCTCTCCTAGCAATAAATATAAATATATATATATAGCTCTCCTAGTGCCATTCCTAAACCTCACAGCAGTTGGACATAGATGGAGAATGGGTGGGAAGTGCTTAACTAAACCCAGGCAGAGAGACCTGTGAGTAGAGAACATGTCTGCCTCATGCTATGTAGCACTCATAACATTGTGGCAAGCTGATCACCAAGTGACTTTTTCTAATTATCATCATTAGCAATTGTGTTAATCCTTAAGTTTTGGACATGTGTACTTCATATAGTTATAAGCATATATTTACATACTTTTTACTTAGAATATTGTGGAACATTGTATTATATTATTCAACAGTTATAGGTTAGTTCTGTTTTCATAAATTCCATTCGTTATGTAAACTATTTGATTTTCTTCTATGATTTGATAAGATTTGTCTTTAGTGGTTTTGCATTAGATACAATATAAAAGAGGATTCTATAAATTCTCAATAAAATTTTGGTAATTATGGAGTGCTAACATGTATCATAGTTCATAGAATATTATGAACTATTCAAATATCAGCCTTATCACTATATATAGTAACTTTATCATATTGAAATATGTTTTTTTGTCTAGATATCCACTGTACTGCATAAAGGATTCAAAGCACTGAGGTTAATTTGCTTTGTTTTATGCCATGCTAGATTTGGCCAGACATTAAACATCTGAGAAAAGAACTATTTGAATAGTAAGAGACAGTGTGTCACACTAAGTTTATTGCTAAATTATTTATTATTTCTGTTCAACCTAAGACTCTTCTCCAACTTCAATAAAATAGCCAAAATATGCTTTATTGGATAATCAATTTTTAATAAATATAAGTATAGGTCAATACATTCATTGGTGGTAAACAATGAGAAACATGAAAAACATGAAAATGAAAAACTGAACTATCATTACATAAGGAACACCTGCCTAATAGTCGGTTTGTCCACCTTTCTGCATGATCAGTTTGCAAATGCTAAGGCATGGACTATATCAGATGCTGAACATCCTCTACTCTTAACTGGACCCATGCCTGCTTGAACAGTTTTCAGTTGGTGCACATTTCATAGAGAAGTGGGCAACAATCTCACCACATGTTCCAGCATATTCCAAACATTCAATAGGGTTTCAGTCTAGTGAGTTTGGAGGCCAAGATAGTGTGTGGAATTTATTGTCATGTTCCTCCAACCATTTGTAAGCCTCACTCAGCGACACAATATGTTGTTATGTTGAAACATAGCATTGTTGTTAGAAAACATAATCTGGAGATTTGGGTGCAGAGGATCATCTAACAGGTCCTTGTATTGTTTACCATTCAAGGATTGTAGGATGATGACCAATGGCCCTAGACCTTGCCAAAAGAATGCACACCAGATTATGATATTGCCACCACCAATCAGCACAGCTGTTTTGGAAATACTAGCACCTGCCCCAGGCCTCAATGATCTGTCTGTGCTCAAAGTTACACCAGTTGCCATTTGCCCATGACTGGCAATTATTGCCTTATGCTATGTAAATGACCGGTCAGCATGTCACAACTGCAGCAAATTGTCACATGGCAACTATAGGACATACCTTTATCACTTTTAAGATGGTGTTGGTATGGTTTCCTAATGTAGTGATCATTCAGTGCCATCACTGACCATTTGCCATCACTTCTGTTACAGTTCTCATTGTTTAAGGTACTTCAGTTTAGTGATGGTCACAAAAACAAACAAGCCCTGTTGTCAAATTGAGTCGTGACTATACAGTGAGATTCAAATTGAGAAGCTTCAGTTATTGAATATCTTCATTGTGATCTTTTCATAAATTCACAAAAAGATAATCTTTACCATATTTAAGAAGTCTGGTTGTTACCCTTTATGTAAATTTTTGAAGTTAATTTTCTTAATCCTCAAATGCTACAAGTTCTAAAGGGTTTTTATATTTAAAATGATTTAGAATTTTTCGACACTCGAGGATGAAATGAAATGGTTCTGAAAAGATGAATGAAAAAGCTTCTTAAATAATATAAAAGTTGTTTTTTCTTGTTTTAAATCTTTTTAAAGAGTGGTACAAAGTTTTTCAATGATGAATTATTCTTCATGATTCACAAGAACTGATCTACCCCTCAAAATAAGTCTCCCTATAAAATTGTACAGTGGATGAAAAACTGTTTGAGTCACAACACTTGCTAAAACTGTTTAATTAATTTAATGCAAATTTTTCACTAAAAATCTACATTATCTACATATAATGACACTACTACTATAATCTACATTTTAATGACAATTTTAATGTGAAAATAAACCACCAATTTAATGTATGCATAATATAAAGGGAAATTATATTTAAGGAACTTTTTGCTCAAATAATTTAACCTGGTACAATGTGCATGATATAACTAGTAGCAGTGAATTTTGAATAGTTTTGTTGGTGTTTTGTAGAAACATAATAATATCAAGCATATTTGTTGTTTTCTCCACATCAGGAGAGTTTTTTTACATTGTTTATAAAATTGAAGTGCAAACAGTGGTATTGTCATACAAAACTAACATTGAATCCTACCACTTGATCCTGTTGACAGTACCTTGTCTTTCAAATACATCCAATTTTACTTCTTTTTAACTACTAAGTTGCAATAAAATAAAGAAATGGTATATATTCATGTATATTTGTTCACATAGATTAAAAAAAAATAGACATTTAATGTAAAAAGAAAGGCACTTACATTTATCTGCTCACAACCTGAGTTGTTCTACACCAAAAAAGCCTCTAGTTTGAGGCTAATGAAATCAGCTGCTCTTCTGTAGCTACTTTTCTCAGTTTATGAAACATACTTGTAGATAAAGACATAATTCTTATTTATCCAGCAACATACAGGCATTTGCCTTTTTTTTAATCCTCATCTCACTTCAGTATATAAAATTAGAAATATCATTCAACAAATTACACAAACTCACAATTTATGATGAAATTGATAAAAGTGATATGAAGTATATTATGAAGTTGTACTTGTGAGCCCTTGTCATGGCTCATTGGTGACTCATGTGACCATGTGACTTGTGAGTCACATGGTAATCTTATTGTGTGACTCATCATATTTTACATCATAAAATTGCAAGTCTAACCCAAAAATTGAGAAACTTTGTACTGCCCAAAGAGTCAAAGTATATCAATTAATAATATTTCATGCTTTTTTAAAAAATCCATGGATCAAAACAATTATGACATGTTATAATTGTTTTGCTACATGGATTTTGCCTGTTCTAATTCATAACACTGTTCTAATGGTGTAAGATTTTGTGATATCTGGTAAAGTTGTTAATATCACATGCTTTAGTCCATTTTATTATATATTCAGTATAAAATTAGTAATTTCAAGTATCACTGATTGTAATCCCAAGTTCCATATGATATCATCAATGCCATATGTGTTCTTTTGAATGTGCCATACACAGAGACATTTTTAGAATTTTGTCATCACTTCTCTTGGAGGAAGTGTAGGATAGAACATTAAATGTAATTTAAATTATCTATTATATTAAAAATGATTTTGAGAAATTATTTAGCTGTGGTAAAATCAATAAGAATTATTTTAAATAAAATTATTTTTTAAGAATTAAGTTAATATTATATATAATTGCTTTATTTTATATAAATATAATTTAATTTTTTAATATAATGTTTAATCTGTAAATCGTTTTATGATCATGTAAATATAATTTCACCTATAAAAACATTTGTTGCTGTAATCACATGCCTGCTTTGTATGAAGTTGCCTCTGGTCATACATCGTATGTGGCTTATCCAAATCAATATGTTGAAAAAGAAAGTGTTTATTTTATAACATCATCACTGCACTAACTGGGTAAACATAATAAAGACATTCACAAACATCAACACTAGTTAAAATTCCAAAAACTTTACTCATATAAACATTTTAATCCATTTAAAAAACACATATTTTGGGTAAATTACATTGAATGAACTGCAGAACTGAACCAAATTCATTAAATAGAATAGAATTTAAATAATTTACAGTAGCAGAAGCACTGCACATGTGCTGTAAAATAATCTCATATTTTTCATATCCCAGTTTAAATATGAGATTGTTTTTCAATGCATATGCACAGTTTCTGCTACTGGAAAAGTTTTTATTTGAATTCTATTCTATTTAATGAATTTTGTTTGTTTCTGTATTCAATGTATTTTGTTTGTTTCTGTATTCAATAATAATTGTTTTTAAAACATTTGTAGGAATAAAGTCTTTTGGGATTTTAACTGGTGTTGATGGTTGTGCATGTTTTTATTGTATTTATTTTTGTTATTTATAAGTATAAAAAGTACAAATTTAAATTATTTATACAGTTAATGCTGTACTTACTCTCATATAAGACGACATTGCATATAGGACAAAGTGTGACTTAAAGATCAAAATAAAGAAAATTAGATTTATTAATACAAATCTAATTTTTATTTCATGTATCACAAGTAAAACATCAAATGAACGTAAATTATCCCACAATTACTGTCATTTTAAACTTTTAAGGAAAATCTTGTAAAATTGACAACATAATTTGTTCATGTAAAGCTGGACAAGACAATCAGAAACCTTTTTCTGCCAATTCTTAACAGTTGAATCCAAGTGTCAAGCAAGTAGCGACCATTTGCAAAAATTGCCATTATGACCTAGTCTGAAGACCAGGTAGGCGTTTAACCACCTCTGTCGGTGTTTCCACTGGCAAATCTTTATTTTGTTTTCCCTGACAGGAAATAGAAAAATGAAAAAATCCACTCTCCGTCGATTACACTTACGTATGATTACACTTACACCGTACGATTACACTCCAAATTCTGATTTCCGAGTAATCATCTGTTTTCACGTGGGAATGGATTAACGTATATTGTGCTCCCGTGTGATTCTGGAATTCAATTCAAAAGCTTTGCTTTTCCTATTGCTATTCATCTTTACTCCTGACAATATACAAGAACGATTCAAATGACCTAGATAAAACACTTTTGTTTTAAAATACAAGAGAGTATGCATACGGTAAAAAATGCAAATACATGGTTTACAAAAATTATTTTCAAAAATGCAAAGAATCTTTCGTTTGCGCATATAGAATGATCTAAGAATTTGAAGCTGTGATAAATGAATAAAAACCTCATCTTATATGCAAATAAATACGATATATAATGGATATATACTCGTTGCCATACAAATTAGCGCACCAGAAGGAGTTGTTATATTGATTTGAAACTTGGTATGTAGATAAGGTTCAAGTGGATATGGATATGATTAGAGTTATAGCATGATGACTCATTGCATAATGCTAGCAGAGGCATTATGCAATGAGCCATTAAAGAGTATCCCTTGGCCTATAAAAAAGCATTCAAAGACATCCTATATGTAGTTTATCTGTTGCAGAGGGATGCTATATGACTAGAGATGACTTGTTGACTATGACTATGTTGCAATTAAAGACCATATGAATAACTAACTGAGTTTGAGAGGGAAAGGATCATTGGGTTGAGAGAAGCTGGATGATCATCTCACCAAAAAGCCTGCCACCTAGGCTGTTCTGACAAAACTGAGGTGTTGGGACCAGTGGTTGAGAGAGAGCTTGCACACACACACAATCTAGGAATTTGGCCTAGATTAAACTAGAGGGCTGCTTGCAACAACTGCGAACTGAGATGCTCTGCATATGGCATATGGCACCTGTATGCCTCCATGCCCACTCGTATGACATTGTATTAACACTAAAGGTGGCCCAACAGGGTTATAGACCCTCCTTTCATTTATAGTTTTTCTTGCAATAAATAATTATTTTTCTTTCATTTTGCAATTACTTACTTACATCACCATTACACTCACACATACAATTTTGTTTGATTCCGGCAACTCCTTCTTGGTGCACTGATTTTTACGGCAATGAGTGTATTCATATCATTTAATAATTTTACTTGATTTAATATGTTTATATGAAAATTTTTAATACAAATAAATAGAAATAAAACAATTCTATTTACAGTCGAACCCCCTATAAGATAGAGATACGTTCCATTCTCTAGGAATCCGCTTTCTTACGAATCCTTCCAATCACAACCCGACACGTGTCAAGTTTACGGACTACGGCTGTTTGAAAGATTTTCTTCCATAAAATTAATCGATTCTAGACTAATCCGACTCAACATTTCCAAAATACGTATATATTTTTTGGGAATAATCCGTATAAACTACGCTATAAACAAAAAATTGTAGGATTACTTACCGAGTGTCACCATTCGACATTGCCATTGCTCAACATTGTTTTCGTCGCGGAACAGCTCAGCAAAGAGCGGCCGATTTCTAACAACTTATTTTTCTGTGAAAACTTCGTAGAACTTCGGAGACATCATTAATATAAATAATTTTAATCGCCGTTGAATAAGAAATGTTTCTTTCACAAGAAATGTATAAAATTACAGTACTGTATTAGACTTACGGTACCTAATTTACATACTGACAGACGATAGTTAGCGTAAAAATCTCCGTAGCGTGGCGCCACGCTAGACGGCGGAAATTATATATTTAATTATAACAAAGTTACAATAAGTTAATATATAATTATATATACAGTACCTAATTTATATATAATTAATATATAATTATATGTACAGTACCTAATTTATATATAATTTATATAATACTGTCCAGACGATAGAAATCTCTCCGTAGCGTGGCGCTACGGACGGCGGGAAAGTAGTTCGGCTTCCCGATGACGTTTGAGGTGTTTATAGGGAACTTTTACTATTTTTTACGGATACCGGTAGCAATTTTTTCGTAGTTTTATAGGAATCGTAACTATAGGGACCGTAATTATAGGGGGGTCGACTGTATGAATAATTTTTACCTAACTTCTAAACATTTTTGGAAATTTTATTAAATAATACTTCTTTTCATGAATTTAGGAAGTTAGTGAAATTATAATGTCAATCAAGTCATTAAAATTGTTTTAAAGCTACTGATCAAAATAATATATATTATTTAAGTGGGATTCAGGAATATTGAATGCAGTGTCCAAAAATAATTTTCATGGGATACTCTGTTAAAAAAATGTATGTATGTGTTGGTGTCTATTTCATTTAATATCTCAGGATAGGGGTAATGATTAAGAAATGAAATTTGGTATGGTAGCTTGTGTATAAAGGGCATTGATGCTATTAAATTTTGGTGGTTAAAGGTCAAGGAGGTAAAGAGATACAGTGCGGTCACATGTCATATCTCAAGAGGGATTGGACTTAATGAAGATTTTACTTGTTATTAGCATTTATAATTTTTTATAAAAGTCATCTCTCCTCTCAAAATTAAGTTTTCTGTCATTTTATAATATTTGTAAAGTTTTTATATTATTAATTAATTACTACTAAAAACTGGTTAAGCTTAAATAAACTACCAACTCAAAAACTAAAATCTGGCTGAAATGGTAAGTCATATTAGCAAACATTTTCCTCTATATGAAATGGACATTATCAGGATTTTAACATTCTAATTCTGAACCACACAAGATGGAATGCTTTGATTTGATATACAGAGGCTTGTTTAGCGGTGGACTGGGTGCCTGAACAGTCTCATATACTGCATGAATATGATGAGACTGTTCAGGCATCCAGCCACCAATAAATGAGGCTCTGTATTTCAAATTGAAACATTCCATCATGTGAGGTTCAGAATTAGAATGTTAAAAGCCTGATAATATCCATTTAATATGGCAGAAAATGTTTGCTAATGTGAATTTTACCAATTCTGCTGGTTTTTGATTTTTGGGATAGTAATTTATATAAAAAGTTTTTTATAATAAAATGTCAAAAGCTGAGAAAGTTATGCGACTCATTGCTGGGTTTTTTCATATGACATTTATTTTTGACTCTTTGTTACTGTGTTTGGAACAAACAACAACAGATTTATCATTGAAATAATTTTAAAATGTATTTATTGATTAAATAAGAAACAATTTAAAGAGGCTGACATTAACAAAAATTCTTATTTAAAAATTTGATTACATTGTGAATGTGTTAGATATTAAAATGGATTTTTAAACTCATAAAAAGTAAGAAAAATTAAATTGAAAGAATAATTGATTATTTATTATTTATACAAATATATGATTAAAATTGAGATATTTTAAATTACAGAATGCACCTTCTTTACATCAGGATATTCAGAATTTTTCTCCAACATTATCGGCAATTTCTTCTTCTGGCGATAGTGACGACATCTCCAGTAAGACCGTGGCAACTACTCATTCACGTATTAATGGAAGTTCGGAAACTGCAGTCTGGTGATATCTACAAGTAAATACAGACAAAATTCTGTCTATCCCTGGTCACAAGTACAGACTTAATTTGAAATATGGTTGTGAACATTAAAGTTGTGAAATATGTTTATTAAATTAGCTTATTTAGAACATTTATTGAAAGTTTAATCTATAAATTGATATTAGGAGAGTATATTAGTTCTCACTAATTTATCATTATTTATGCTCATTGTTACAGTCAACATTCCATAATATTTCTCACTAGAAACTTTTTAAATATACAAGAAAATTTGAAAAATATATAAGAAATGACTCTGTGAGAACTTTTTTATTGATTTTATTTATTAGGTTAGAAAAATTAAATTCTGTTCAGTAGATTTTTTTTTGTTATTTACAATTATATATTATTATTTTAATTTATTTTATTTTGTAAACAAATTATTACCTAATGATGAATATATTTATATATCAGAAATGGCCAAGAGAATTACACATAAACCAAAAAAAAAATAATTAAAATCAGATATTATCTATTGATTAAAATTAATTAACTGGTACAGCAGATATTCAGTTATTTTCTCTTTATTTCCATATACATTTTGATCTTTCTATAATTCTACATATAGTTAAGTCAAATAATAATTCGAATATCATTTTGAATTGAGTCAAAAAGTTTTAATGAGCATAAATTCATTCCAGATTTCTATAAAAGTATAACTAATGAAACATTATGGCCTATTAAGATTGGAATGGTAATAATCAAAAATTTTTTATAAAAAGATTATACTTCAATAAATGAAAAAAGATTATTAAAAATCTTGAAAAATTCAATAAAAAAGTTTTTTAGATGGGGATTTATAAAATTTTTTACTCTAGACTTAATCATCAGAAGAAATGACTTTTATAGATTCTGTATTTACCACTTCATTTATGTTGGTCTCAAGTTACTATAGGCCTGTATCTAGGGCTCTAGGTTTTGTAATTCAATGCTCATGTTTAATGGACTGTTTTCCATACCGTTGTTTGTATAGAACAGCTATTAAAAACATTCTAAATTGATCATGCTAGAGATGGTACAAATCTTTTCAAAATTCACAAGTTTTTTCCCCCTCTGTTCAATTATTTTATTATTAAACATAATTTATTTCTTTTTTTCATCTCTCTAGTGAGGCATTTCAAAATAGCCAATACCTTAACATTTACAGCAAGATATAATATTAATAAGTGATGGTCAATTATATCATAATCTGCTAATTTTTTCTTGGTATTAGTACTGAATTGTTAGAGCATTAGTTTTTCTTAATATGCATTAAGTTAACAAATTTATAATTTTTTAAATTTATAAGCAATTTTTCCTAATTTGTTGTTGTTATAATTAAANCCAAAGGACATTCCGGAGAAGGCTTTCCAGAATGCCTTCCAGGCCTGGAAACACTGCCTTCACAAGTGTATCAACGCAGGAGGGTGATGTTTCGAAGATTTTTGACTAATTGTAAGAATATGTTCAATAAATGATTTTTTTATGAATTTGGTCGCATTACTTATGGAATGCACCCTGTATATATATAGCATTTTTCACATTTCGAGATTATGCATAATAACAGCTTAATCGTTTATTAACTCAAAGCATGAAATATTTATATAGCTGAGCATGTTAAAAATATTATGATAGTTTTCTGTATAGACAATTTTGCAAACTACACAAACATAAAAATTTCAGATATAGAGATTTATGCTAAATTTAATATATCAAGACTTTTGATTGAAATTGAATGTTTTTATCTAGATATCAAATGTATAATCTATATGTAATTTTTTTAAGTCTGTTGTCAAAGAACAAATTAATAACAAGAACTAAAGTTAATTTATTAACTTTATATTTTAAGTTTATTTAACTTTTTATAAATTAAAGTTTTACATGTAAAACTTTAACAAATAAATTAGATAATTTCACATTGTCTTCAGATTTTAACATAAATACAATTTATCAATTTATTATCAAACTAATATACAGTTATATACTATGTATGTTTCCCTGGTAATTAGATTCTAACCATTTTACCAAAAAATGATTTGATTATTTATATCTGGCTGATTTTAGTGAATTTGCTAATTTTGCACCAATTTTTCAGGAGTGGGATGGCATGCAGAAATTTCACCATCAGATCATCCTGTATCTCAGTATGAGTTTGATGTATTAATAGGTGCTGATGGAAAAAGAAATACATTATTAGGTAAATTTAATATATATATATATAATATATTTTAGTCTTAGATCATATGATTAGAATGTAAATAGATGTAGTTTAAAAATGCATCAAAAGTGTATATATGCTTTTGATGCATTTTTTATAATATACATAATTTTGATGCACATAAATACTATATACAGTTTAGCTGAAATTTTTAAATTTAGAAAATTATAGTATTAGAATTTTGTATAAGCATAATTTCTTCTCCTTTTCAAATTAATTAATATTTTAATTCTATTAAATAAATATTCTTAAATGGTAAGAAACACTTGACTATCAGATTAGTGATTAATTTTCATGAACATTTGAATAATAATTTGAAATGTATTTCATTCTTTCTGTTCTTTGGGTAGTTAGAATTACCAGACCCACACTGGGGTAGCTGATGGTTGGTGAGGGATGAGGCAAAATAGTGTGTGTGTGTATGTAGAAGTAGAAACAATTTGTTGTGTATTTTTTAAGATTCTTTGTTAGCCCAAAGAATCTTAAAAAATATTACTTTTTGCTTTCTACAAATTTAACAATTTCATTTAAATTGAATTTATTATAATTCTTTTGATGATTTCAGATATTATCAATTTGGTAAACTCAGATTTATTTACTATCAAAATTCTTTACCTACAATGATTGAAATTTGTTATATGGTGCTATATAATATCTCAATAGGGCATGGAAATTTCAACAATATTTATATCTATCAAACTACAAAAGTTGAGAAAATGTTAATTTTCTCATTCTAAAATTGATTTGTGTACAGATAATTTTTTAATATAATGTTTAATCTGTAAATCGTTTTATGATCATGTAAATATAATTTCACCTATAAAAACATTTGTTGCTGTAATCACATGCCTGCTTTGTATGAAGTTGCCTCTGGTCATACATCGTATGTGGCTTATCCAAATCAATATGTTGAAAAAGAAAGTGTTTATTTTATAACATCATCACTGCACTAACTGGGTAAACATAATAAAGACATTCACAAACATCAACACTAGTTAAAATTCCAAAAACTTTACTCATATAAACATTTTAATCCATTTAAAAAACACATATTTTGGGTAAATTACATTGAATGAACTGCAGAACTGAACCAAATTCATTAAATAGAATAGAATTTAAATAATTTACAGTAGCAGAAGCACTGCACATGTGCTGTAAAATAATCTCATATTTTTCATATCCCAGTTTAAATATGAGATTGTTTTTCAATGCATATGCACAGTTTCTGCTACTGGAAAAGTTTTTATTTGAATTCTATTCTATTTAATGAATTTTGTTTGTTTCTGTATTCAATGTATTTTGTTTGTTTCTGTATTCAATAATAATTGTTTTTAAAATGGATGAAAACATTTGTAGGAATAAAGTCTTTTGGGATTTTAACTGGTGTTGATGGTTGTGCATGTTTTTATTGTATTTATTTTTGTTATTTATAAGTATAAAAAGTACAAATTTAAATTATTTATACAGTTAATGCTGTACTTACTCTCATATAAGACGACATTGCATATAGGACAAAGTGTGACTTAAAGATCAAAATAAAGAAAATTAGATTTATTAATACAAATCTAATTTTTATTTCATGTATCACAAGTAAAACATCAAATGAACGTAAATTATCCCACAATTACTGTCATTTTAAACTTTTAAGGAAAATCTTGTAAAATTGACAACATAATTTGTTCATGTAAAGCTGGACAAGACAATCAGAAACCTTTTTCTGCCAATTCTTAACAGTTGAATCCAAGTGTCAAGCAAGTAGCGACCATTTGCAAAAATTGCCATTATGACCTAGTCTGAAGACCAGGTAGGCGTTTAACCACCTCTGTCGGTGTTTCCACTGGCAAATCTTTATTTTGTTTTCCCTGACAGGAAATAGAAAAATGAAAAAATCCACTCTCCGTCGATTACACTTACGTATGATTACACTTACACCGTACGATTACACTCCAAATTCTGATTTCCGAGTAATCATCTGTTTTCACGTGGGAATGGATTAACGTATATTGTGCTCCCGTGTGATTCTGGAATTCAATTCAAAAGCTTTGCTTTTCCTATTGCTATTCATCTTTACTCCTGACAATATACAAGAACGATTCAAATGACCTAGATAAAACACTTTTGTTTTAAAATACAAGAGAGTATGCATACGGTAAAAAATGCAAATACATGGTTTACAAAAATTATTTTCAAAAATGCAAAGAATCTTTCGTTTGCGCATATAGAATGATCTAAGAATTTGAAGCTGTGATAAATGAATAAAAACCTCATCTTATATGCAAATAAATACGATATATAATGGATATATACTCGTTGCCATACAAATTAGCGCACCAGAAGGAGTTGTTATATTGATTTGAAACTTGGTATGTAGATAAGGTTCAAGTGGATATGGATATGATTAGAGTTATAGCATGATGACTCATTGCATAATGCTAGCAGAGGCATTATGCAATGAGCCATTAAAGAGTATCCCTTGGCCTATAAAAAAGCATTCAAAGACATCCTATATGTAGTTTATCTGTTGCAGAGGGATGCTATATGACTAGAGATGACTTGTTGACTATGACTATGTTGCAATTAAAGACCATATGAATAACTAACTGAGTTTGAGAGGGAAAGGATCATTGGGTTGAGAGAAGCTGGATGATCATCTCACCAAAAAGCCTGCCACCTAGGCTGTTCTGACAAAACTGAGGTGTTGGGACCAGTGGTTGAGAGAGAGCTTGCACACACACACAATCTAGGAATTTGGCCTAGATTAAACTAGAGGGCTGCTTGCAACAACTGCGAACTGAGATGCTCTGCATATGGCATATGGCACCTGTATGCCTCCATGCCCACTCGTATGACATTGTATTCACACTAAAGGTGGCCCAACAGGGTTATAGACCCTCCTTTCATTTATAGTTTTTCTTGCAATAAATAATTATTTTTCTTTCATTTTGCAATTACTTACTTACATCACCATTACACTCACACATACAATTTTGTTTGATTCCGGCAACTCCTTCTTGGTGCACTGATTTTTACGGCAATGAGTGTATTCATATCATTTAATAATTTTACTTGATTTAATATGTTTATATGAAAATTTTTAATACAAA